AAAACTGGGAACAAAGCTCGAGGGTGTTACTATAGGAGGAGCTAGTGTTGCCGAGTGGAGCTGCGGGTTGGGCTCGCCAACTTTCCCAAATACAAATTGGCTAATTTGTGAGAAATACAAAAAGCGTCTTCTTAATGTTCCATTTTTCATAATCTTTACTTATAAGAAACCTCTGAAGAAAGAGTGAACATAGACGTTATCTTTTGTAACATTATGGTCCTGCTTGCGACCCGCGAACTCACTTAGCAGTCACGCACGTTTAAAGAATCGTTGGCAGCAGTTCGTGTTTTAGTTCCTGTACTAAGGTGATACAGCAGAGCGCGCCACCGTAATGGTTGCCACCATCTTATATGGGAGGTGTAGTGTAGTTGTGACAGTCGCCGCTCACGGGCTACTTGCGCTTTCGCAGTGCCGACTCGTCCACCGCTTCGAGGCCCCGCCGCCTCGGCGCTCGCCCCATGGCCCGGCAGCTCTCCATCAAAATTGGGGACAAAGCTAGAGGTTGCTACTATAGGATGTGCTAGTGTCACCGGTTGCAGCTGCTGGTAAGGCTCGCCAACTTTCGCACATAAAAATTGGTCAAGAAATACGAATACACTTTGATTATGAGCGATTTCTGAAATAAATTACAAAAGAAGTTAAATACTGCGTGTTTATCTTCTAAAATTCATTTATTCATAATAATACACGCATGAAAGAACAGGTAGCGCGAACAGCTGCACGATCTTTTGTATCAAGCGCGTGTGTTTGCGTCCCGAGAACCCCCGCACGTTTTAAATATCGTTTGTAGCAGTTCGTATTTTAGTTCGTGTAAGAAGGCGATGCTCTAGAGCGCGTCACTGCCCCCCCCACGTTTATGGGAGTTATAGGGCCCCGGCTCGACCCTCACCAGGAGGCCATAACCCTCGGCCTTATCGCGCGGCCGAGGCCAGAATCCACCGACTCCGTGAACTACGTCACGCTAGAAGCCGCCTCTGCGGCTCTACAGCCCCCTTCCCATATACACGGCCCACATATCGAAGAGTACTGTACTGCTGTTAGAAAAATTAACTGTATTTTATGTTTTGTATCTCGAAGTTTACTCAGGGACACAACAGTCCATTTGTGCATGTGACCTGCGTGAAGGTGTTCTGGAGGAATTGCCGATTAGCAAAGAAAACTATCGTATATATCTTGGAAAAGTTCTATACGAGTTAACGATTTTGCAAAGTTAGTTTAAATTAATTTCATCCAAAAGAAATATAAACCTTTCATGAAAGTTCATGCCAAGAAAATCACGTAATTTCATGTGAAAAATTTGGCTGAAGTCTAGTATACGGTGCAACTTCAGGAAGTCGTTTTAAACCGGCACTTCGCGCTGCTCCGGCGTTAACTGCGCAGTTTGAATTCTGGAGGCTTTCGTGAAAAAATATTTTTTTTTATAAAAGTGAATCGGTAGTTATGCGGTGGATAGACTCAAGGTTGTTTACAGGGAACGCGAGGGCCCGAGCCTCACCGTAACATAGATCCGGGCGAGCGAAGCGAGAAAACTTGCCGTTGAAAGTAAATTGGCATTACAATGCGGCAGGGACAAAGCGTAGGAAAGGTCAGCCATGAAATTTGCCTATACGTAAGTTTTATTCATTTCTATCAGAGCGCGTACCGTAATTTGAGGGAGGGCATAAGGAGACCAGTCCCCGCGCCGCCTCGCTTCTGAGAGTGTACCGTTTACCCTACGTTAACCAAGAAGTTAGTGAATTTAAGCGTGCACTTATACCATTGATATATATTAGGACTAATGAGGAATATTTTTCACTATACCTTTTTATTTTTATATTGGTCTAAATATTCTTGTTCAATTTTATTACATTTAATACGGACTTGCAATAATACGATTTATTGTCGCACTGGTGAGCAAAAAATACGACGCGGCAGTTTCTACGCTAAGCTACAGAACGCAGCATCGAACGAATTCTTCTGTGTGAAAGCAACACGAAAGAAACTTCAAACGCCCGACCTTGTCAACAAACACCGTCGAACTAGAAGGCCGAGTGCGGAATTCGTTAAGGGTCTCGTGAGTTAAAAAGTTTCACTATGAACTGTATTCACCGTTTTCCCTGTTTTTATAATTTGCATAAATGCAGCTAGAAGCCGTTTTTCAAAGCTTTAGAAAACTGTATTCAAGTTACATTTGATGGTGCATATAATTGAAGTCATTACTATTGAATGTGTTTCTCAATCTAATGACTGTCGTACCTGAAAGCAGATAGTTAAACACTGAATTTACTGTAAACTTTGTTGTATAATTATTTAAGTTAATGAATAGTATAAGGACTAAGAAAGTGTCATTAGTTACAATGTTTTCAGTCTCGTGAATTAATGTATGTAAATAATCCATTCACTGGCATTGCATATGCAAAGTTTTCTTAAGTGACGGTAATAGAATATATAACGTTAACACTTATATTCATCCTGGTCTAGTTACGCAACCCGAATGTAAATAAATTGAGGGAGAGAATTTTATTCTATTTGTGAGTTAACGTGTATATTGTAGAAATTATTTACAATATATTTGGATTTATTTATTCAAAAACAGTAAAAAATGTATATGACGTATGGGGGAGAAGATCATTTGCGAACATTTTCTTGAGTTCTGTAATTACTTCCCATCATTTTAACTATAAATAGTTGAAGGATAAGTAAAAGTTAAAGATAAATAAATAAAAAATAAAATTTAAAAAAGCGCGAAAAACATCATTTGAAAAACTAGACATTTTCGTTCTCTAGTTAAAGAAAGTTTATTTGCAACGATAAACGAACTGTAGGTTTGGTTTTTATGTATTGTTAACAAAATCTCACAAAATCACCCTTACCTCTACTCCTACCACTACAAGCAAAATGAGAGTTTAACAAAATGTGCGCATAGCGAAGCTACATTTACGTCCAAATGCAAAACAAGGTGCAATCTCAGCATTTTCTCAATGTATCAGAGAAACTGGACAAAAACTTGATCGAAATGGGGGAAGGGAAGAGGAAATGTTTAAGGGAATTATTTCTTAACCCTTTTCTTTTTTAGTTATTTTTTTATTAGTGGGTATTTGTGTATGTGGAATTTTTAGATGGTGCTTTTTTATTGTGATTGTTGTGTAATTTTTGTGAGCGATTATGTCAAAGATTTTGGTAATTGATGCAATTCAGTGATTACATTTACTGCCATATGCTTACATTTTTTGTAATTATTGATAAGAATATACTGTTACTATTTCAAACTCGCCTGACTTTTCTTTATATTCGAATCGATATTCGACCCAAGACCTTATTACATTAGAGTAGACGTAACTTCATCTGTATTAATTCTTGTGACATCTTTTTAGTTGGGATGCCACAGATCAAGCAAAGTTAATTACTTGAGACATTCATCCAGAAACCTTACAATAAAGGGGAGTCAGGAGGGGACGTTTGTAATAGTTTTCTACTTCAAAAGGGCTCATGGTTCTATTTATCTTTGATTCCAATCATTAATTTCATTAGCATCACCTTCCAGAATTCACAACAATCGTTGTAGGCAAATATTTCAAGAAAACGTCGGGATTAAATATAGTCATGAAATGTCATCAAACTTAAACTATTAGAGCTAGAGAACTGAGATTTTTAGGACAAAAATTGAACTTTAACTCGCTCTAGCTTGTAAACTATTAGAGCTAGAGTACGTGACTTAGTAACTTTCTGGTTGACATTAATTTTTCTAATAGATTTTTATTTTCCTTTTTCCGCAATATCAACACACTGCTGCGGTTCTAATCATTTTTTGTGCTTTAATTCTGCGTAATTAGCTGCATTTCAACAACTGAAGTAATTGACGCCTGCCCATATCAATTGAAACCAAACATGCAAATTACAGCACTTTTTACCATTATTTCATCAAACGTACCTACATTATTTTCATCAATCATAATGCCGAATGGAATAATAGCACTGGTCTGAAAAATTTAGGTAATAGAAAATTGTTTGTGAAATTCCATCTGCAGTTTACAGAATTTGATATGCTGATTTGAAATATCTCTATTATTTTTTATCATGTAAGGTTTCTTCAGTGTATTTGAATACGCAAGAAAGCAGACTGCAGTGAAACTACATCCTGCAAAGAAATTTATACTCGAATAACAATTATCTAACTTAATATTTCTAATGATAATTGAGATAAAAAATTGAACCACAATGAAACTACTGTTCTACAATAATAATGTAATCTGCTTTAATCATTAAGATTAGGTTTTAAATTGATTATATACAATATAATTCTATTTAACTGTTCAGTCTCTTTTAAATTTTGAACAACCAAATAAACACTTTCAAAAACTTTTACATATTATTTGTGTATTAGCGACGACGATTCGCGAGACTTTTCCCCCTCAACAGGGATAACTAGAAAATTTAAATAGAAAACTGTTCAATGAATCAAAATGAGTTTCACCAAATGTTACAAAAAATAACAAATTAAATTAATACTAACCATTCAATGCTAACATTGTATATTTGGAAACTAAAAGGATTATACAAAAATAATACAAATGAATACAATTTATTAGATATGTGCCTTATGAAGATTCTATATACTCGATTTTGTTGAAAGGCTTTTGTGAAAATAATCTTAATTGTAGTGTAATAACTACACATAAAATTTTATTTTTCGTTTGTGTTCGCCTTCAATTTGCTTCTTGTCTAATGAATGCGGTGTTTGTTTGTGCTGAAATCGATTTTTCTACACTTATTACTTCCCCTTATATTGAATTTTGAAAAATTGTTGTGAAGGTGCCTCTTTTGGTATCAAAAGCCACACAATTTAAATTGATTTATGTGAAAATAATGGATGATGCATTTTATGATTGATATAGATGCAGGCCCGTGTGATTGTTCCAGTTATTGAATACTGATTTCATTTCGTTCATTTGTACTTACAACAAATACTGCAATTATGATATCAATGTGTATCTCTTAAGGTGTAAAACTGTCTTTCTCACCCGGTAGATGCCGAAGATGAGCAGCAGCGAGGTGAGGATACCACTGGAGGCGCAGCACAGCCACACCGCCGACAGCGCCAGTGACTCTGAAAAGCGAGGCAAGCATTAGTGACGTTTGGAAGAATATTCTAAAGACCGGTGGAATACGTAGTTGAGCACCAGCGATGTGAAGATATCGCCGGAGTCGCATCAGACACTTCCAAATATTTAACTCTCACTTCAGATTCTGACATAAATAAGTAGGCCTAGTGTATTAAAATTTCTGAATTTCCAGTGGCGCCTCCAGTGAGCGTCATGCAATTCAGGCGACTAAATATGCAAATTATTTCCTTTGCGCAGATGCCAATTACTTCCTATTGCGATTAATTTAGAATTCAGTAAAAAATTGATCGAGAGTTGTAAATATGTAACGCACAAATGTCACAAAAGGGGATTTTTTACATTCGGTACTTCAAGACATTGTGCCACAAAATTTAGTAAATGTTAAATTAGCTAAAAGTATTATTTAGCGTCCACGAAAGATGAGAACTAAGTTTGTATATACTTCTTAAACCAGCACTTGCTGGTTTGACGTGCTTTTCTTATTTACGTAAATTAGGAATACCACACTTCAATAAAATATTCTTACAAATTTATTATGTCTATATACTAGACGACAAAGGAATGAATTAAACTGTGTTCTCTGCAAACGTAATCCAATTGAAATATTTTTGTCTATTTTTTATGTTAATTATGGAAATCATTCTTCAAGCATTATGTGCTTGTGTCGGGGTTCACTAGGAAACTAACACATATATTACTAAGAAATATTCATTTTTACTTTATCACGTTACAACGATTACGTAATAAAGATAAAGTATTGTAATGCTATGTATAAAATCGGTGAAATTCAAACAGAAAAAATATTATTGTGCCCTGAAAAAGTCAATAATAGTATATTATGCCATTAGTTTGCAATGTTGTTCTTATGAGTACAAAAAGTAACATTATAAACGAATTGATTACACTATTTTTTGTATAACATAATTATATTAGAATTATATACAAGGGTAAAATGGTTACTGAACCTGGAAGTAGAATACGTTGCGTACATAATGTAGGTCCACTGTAATAGGGGCGGCCGTGGTTTGCCGAGGTTAAGTTGTGAAATGGACATACCAGAGGAATTATCAGAATCTGGATTTTCTTTTACGAATGTTTCGAACTACGCATTTCATTTTCATTATTTATGAGCTTTTTTTTGGAATGACTAGTTAAATTTGTTTTGTAGTGCTGCTTTTGTCGATTTGTAATTCTAGTTTTCTGTGTTACGAGTAAATAAAAACCCCGTATTCCCGGAAATCGTTTGATGACATGTTATTTTATTGAACTAATTTCAGAATTCTGTAGTTTCTGTTCGATTTGCGTTGCCATAAGATTGTGTATAATGTTGATATACAAAAAATCTTATTTTCATACGTGAAGTAAATTACTTACAATGGGTAGAAAATCCAATTTTTGTATGTCATAGATTTTGGAACTTTGTCTCTATTTCAGAGGTCAAAGCTAGGACATCAATACGGGCTTGAATTTTTAATTTTGCACCCTTACATCATATGACGAGAAAGTTTTGTAATTCTACGCTGGAAAACTGCAAATTTTCGACAGGAAAAATTCTTATTGCTGAGCCCTGGTATCGAAAAGATAGATACATTGTGTTCCTATATATAGTAAATTACTTTTTCGTTGAAGAGTCGGATTCCATGTTTTATTTCAAGCCCATCCGTAATAACAGAAACTCGATTGAAGGTAAATCTGTGTCGTGTGCCGGATTGTGGTCAACGCTAGCGCTTAAACTGATCAGCGCATTGTCTCGACAATCAATATTCACCGATCGGTCTACACGAACTCGGTACCCTGAAAATTTGAAACAGGTGTTCTATTTTTTCGGGTACTGTGCATAAAACTTCAACATTTTCAATATTTCCTCAAAAATGACTACAATTTTTGCTTTATTTTCTTTCTCGTATGTAGCAAAGAAAGGCAAGAAATGTTGGATTGCCCCCATTTTCGGCTGTATTTTTAAACAACAATAAAAATATTAAAACAATAATAAAAAGTAATGTTCAAAGTACAATTTTTATGATATTTTGGGTGAAATCAAAGTCGAATTTGCAAATTTGAATTTCCCACGCTCCACTGATTTGAGGAAATGTTAAATTTGAATGCGGCAATGGCATTTCGCGCCGCGTGACGGCAGCTAAATCTTCTGTAAACCCCTTCTGTCGAACTGTCGACTTGAATGAAAAAAAAATAGTTTTAAAAGGGTTTTTCACTAACACTAAAAAGATAATGAATAATGTAGCTCAGAACCCACGTACACAGGTGTCTTGAAGGCGTGTTTGTACTCGGACAGCGCAATTCGGCAATTCGTTTGTGTCAGAGTTCCTGGTAGCCTCTCGGGGCAACTCGCACAGAATACCTGCCAAAATAAATTTTCTCTTATACTTCTAGTTTGATATCTTGAAGTTTCTGAACAGTTTGTGTTTGCAAAACTTCACAAAAACTGTATCTTTTAAAAAATGTTTGAAAAATCGTCATTTTTGCGTAATACGAGTGTCTTGTTGCAATTTTTTAAAAAATATCTCAAAACGTCTTCATATATTTCATTTAAGTTTCTTCCCGAGATAGAGTAAAATATGCTTATGAATTGATCAGATTACCTGTTTTTTAACTTTCTGAATTTTTGAAAATTACAAAGTTACAAATAATGCGAGAATGTATGTGCTGTTGCAGAACCACAAGGGTAGTTAGGAGCAGAAACTTAAGAAAAAATTTTTAAATAAAATATTTATAAATATAATATAATATAATATAATATAATATAATATAATATAATATAATATAATATAATATAATATAGTATAATATAATATAATATAATATAATATGATGAACATAGTATATATAATGCCTGTCTTGGCATAGTATACATAATACAGTGTCTTCGGTGGCAAATAAACGAAATCGCTGGGATAAAATCTTTCTCCCGCAACATTTCTATTGAGATGTGACACTTTTCTTATGCAGCAAAGTTTTCTCTAACTTAATTTGAAATCAATAACGTTTATTTTTTACTATTTTGATAAATTATATTATTATATTTTTTGATTTATTTTCCTTAAAAATGATTGTAGATCTCAGACAGAATAGTGAAAATGGTGCTCAGCACTTGGTATTGCTGTGTCCGCACTTGATATTTAAAGAACACATCGACGCAGAGCGCCTGTAGCGAGAGGAAACGGCTGACGCGAGAGGCCGAGCGAGTGATCACAAACAGTTGCGTCTTCTCTTCCGCGTGGTGAACTTCTCGAGGCTTCTACGCGGTGACAAGGAAGCAGGGCGACGGCCGTGCTGGCGGTTACCCACGAGAAATTTCCGCCCCACCACCCCATCGGGTGGCACCGCTTGCTCGTGGGCCTTCCTGTCAAGTGCTCTTCGCGGCAACATTTCACGATTACACAGCGGTCATTATTGATTACCAGTGCTCCGTGTATTAGGCTCTGACAAAACCTGTTTTAAATTACTCAAATGGACTCTTGGACTAATGGACAACTAGGCAAATGATACAAAATAATATAGTAAATCTATAACATAAATTGGCAAAAAAATTATATTTTCACTTCTTTTTCTCTTTGTTTTTAAGATTAAGAATACAGAAGTGTAGCAAAACGTCTGAAAAAAATGTGAAATTAACTCTTAAACTCGCGCTGGCGTACTTTGTACGCCTCTACAACTGTTATCGCCGTAGGTGTCTGATAACCAGCGCGCTATCTGACATTTGACCTAACCTCGCAGAGGCCAAAAGGGAGTTTGTGCACGGTAGAGCGGACAGCACTATCGATCTTACGCGCATGCACATAAGCACTGGTGATGCAAAAGTTGAACTGCGCATGCGCAGAAGATCGATAGTACTCGTTCGATTAACGTTCGAGGGTGCACAAACTCTCTATTAAACCGAATCTTCCTCGATACTCATTTGCGTAAGATTTACTGCAGTGGATATAAGATTGTATTTCCGTTGGATAGTGTTCGTTAGCGTACTTTCTACGCCTTGTGGGTACGAATGTAAATTTTAATTTCCTTTTAATTATTACAGAATGTTTTATTTATTGATGTAATGAAACTCATTTAGTTTTACATTAATAACAATACAGAGATGAATAATCTATCAGAAAAGCAGGTATGTGAATTATTACATGAGAAATCGTCATAACACGAACTTTGCGATGCTGCAAGTGATTCTGAGGAAGAAGTTGTAGTGGCCGACAGTGAAAATGACACGTGTTCTGAGCTTCATTATTCTAGTAATTATTGAAGCAGCGATTTAGAGTGTAGAGATGTTTTCACTGACTGAGACGATATTACGAAGTGGAATAATACACCGCTTGTCAGCAAACTTACAAAAACTGGAAGTCGTGATGTTCAAGAATAACCGCAAACAAAATTAAGAAATTAGTCACATTTGCAGAAGAGCAAAAACCCGCACTACTACAATTATTTCTACACTTACTACTAACTTGTGCAATAATTTGCAATATTGTCAAATCGATCGCGCGGGTACGTCTGTGACAAAACATAGCACGAATTACCAAGGGTTAAAATTAATAAAATGAAGTTGTTCAGGCATCACTTTTGATATAAATTCACTTTGAAATTTGGATTTTGACACCTTCGCCTTCCAACTAGTCTCAGTGCAATGGAGAGGCAATAATGAGTGATTGTTTTGGCAATATTCTTTATTTTACTTTACGTTCATTTGCACTGTTTAATCATGCATTTACACTTTATGATTGATTTACAAAATGAAGCAGATTTTGTAAGATATTATGATCAAATATTGGGGAATATTATTTGACAAGCTTTCTAAATTATCATTGTTCACTAAGGAACATTGAGCAGCCCGCTTGAGAAGACATGATGTTAATAACTAAGTTACCTAAATTATTATGCAATGTTAGGCTGTACTTACTAAATTGAGAGATTAAACGCCATCGTTAAAATTCTATAGACGGAACTACAAAAATATATCGGTTCTTTAAGATTGAACATTTATGTAACTTTTTATATTTATTCTATAGAGTTTTTGGTTACAAGAGAAAAATGTATAATTTAGCCTATTCAAATTGGTCTAAAAAGTGCTGATTTAAGCAAAAAAAACATATTTTGAATCGTGGCATGATTGTTCCTTGGTACCCAACACACATCATAATGAAACTTCTGAAGGGTGAGCTGGAGGCAGCGGGGGAACGTTTAACAGGTTTTTCTAGTTTTTCCTATATATATATCCATATATCAATCCTACAGAAAATAACTCTCTATACAAAATTAAAGTGAATACAATTTCTTAAAAAAGTTTTTATAACGTTTTGCTGTAAAATAAAGATTATAGATGCGATAAATATGAATGTTCGAAAAGTTCTTGTTTTTATTTACAAGGCTCTTTTCTACATATCTCCTTTATATAGCCGACCGCTCTTACCTGTGGTACCGTATCCGTGGATTCCACGATCACTATTCACAATCCGTTATTTCACTAATCGATTTCGCTCCAGGTTAACGTTTACGTATTTGAGACATGCATTCACTGTGTGAGTCTGAGACATGACAGTTGATCCCCCTGGACGTGTAGTTTTGTTGGAATGCGCTCATTGTGGAAGATGGTGTCTGGCTCCAACACTCTAGAGGAGAAAATGCACTCTTCCTCTGTGATAGACGGTTATTTCGAGCTCGGTCGTGATGAAGGTTCACACGGAGACGCGTACTCAGCCTCATAGAGACACCCATTCACGGGTTTGCGTCTGAGATAGAATAGTTGATCACACTGGGCGTGGAATTTTGTAATTGAATTGGGAATGCGCTCACCGTGAGATATGGTGCCTGGCTCGAGGACGCTGGAGGAGAAAATGCACGCTGAGTCTGTGATAAGGAATCTGTCGAGCTCGTTCATTATGAACGTTCTCATGTTGAGGCACGCATTCATCGTATTATAGATATACACTTCACTGTGTGTCCGAGACAAGTTGAGTAAAGACGTGGAATTTTTTCATTGGCTTTGGTGAGGGAGCACTCGCCGTGGGAGGTAGTGTCTTGCTCAAGAATGCTGCAGGAGAAAATGTGAGTTCGTGATGGAGCGTATTTCGAGCTCGCTCGAGGTGCACCTTCACATGATTGGGATAGGCAACGTGTGCGTTCGAGGCCAGGGAGTTGAGCCCAACGGACGTGGAATTTGTTGGGGGTTGCGCTCACCGTGGGAGATAGTGTCTGGCTCAAGAATGCTGCGGAAGAAAATGTGAGTCTGTGATAGAGCGTATTTCGAGCTCGCTTGGAGGTGCACGTTCACATGATTGGAAAAGGCAACGTGTGCTTTCAGGCTAGGGAGTTGAGCACAACGGACGTGGGATTTGTTGGGGGTTGCGCTCACCGTGGGAGATGGTGTCTGGCTCGAGGACGCTGGACGTCTGCGGCGCGGAGGCGTTGCCCTGCAGGTACTCTCGTTCCTCGTGCAGGGCGCGCCCCATCAGCACCGCCATCAGCGAGAAGTAGCTCTGAAACAACGTGAACGAATCTTCAGACATCTGTATGTTAGTAAAATGCCACTTGTTGAATCAGTTCAACATCGGTAAGTGGTTAATGCAACTGATTTTAGTTTTCTTTGATAATTAGATATTTTGTTTAAAAGGAAAACACTTTTTTAGCAAACGGAATACCTGTGCTACGCTAGTATACAAAATTATGCGGGTAACGCAAATAGCATTCAATTTTTTTGACAATTATATTTTGTTTTAAAGGAAAACACTTTTTTACTAGCGCAACACACTGTGTTACGCTAGTAAACAAAATTATGCGAGTAACACAAAGAGCAATCAATACGTGCATAAGCTTATGAGAGAAATCCTTTATGTAGTGTCCTCATGTACGAGCGGGTAAAGAGCGCCCAACAAGTGCGCGTGGAGACTATTAAGTCACTGCTCTTGTCAAATGATTCTACTCGTAATCTGCTGTCAAATGTCTTATTTCCCGTTGCTTCCATTCCTTCCGCTTCAGAACCATTGCCGATCACAACAAAAATTCTCCAATAGGCTCCTCTCGTCGTGATTCACAACGATTTACTTATTTATTTATTAAAGGCTAGTTGACACTTCACTTCTTATTTCCAAGTAAAGGAGGAGGCTGGGTTCTTCAGCCTTCGAGTCACATGACATAAAGCATCCGTTATTCTGAACAACGATAATTTCTGATGTTTTTTACACCAAAAATTTAAAAAAAGTCACGCAGAAGAACACAAATTCGCCAACATTAATCTAATAAGCTAGCAAGAGCACTATCAGTTATGTTACGAGGTGATATCGCATTTCCACCTCGAAAAAGAATAAAATCTATAAACCCTAATGCCGCTTTGCTTCACTGGGATGAAAATTCGGCAGCAACTTAGAAATATGCGTCCCCTGCGAATCGATGGTAGCGAGCTTGGAACAGCCGCGCTAAGCGGAACGGAATGCAAACGCACGTTCTTACGTTGTCAGGTTGGCACCACTTAGCGCAGACCGCCCCGCTGCACCCCCACACAAGTGGAATGCTCCCCTGAGGGCGTCGTCAGCTGAAGGGACAGTTCAAAACAAATCTTTTTTTCAAAAGAAAAGCATTTTTCACGAAGTTTGTGTTACAAGATAAGGTAATAATTATTGGTACGTATGTAGCCAAATTAATTCAAATTTGGCGCCACGCTTGGAGCTAATGCATTTCGACAATTCTTCAAAGTTATTTAAGAAGAAAAGATTATACATATCAAACGTCGCGCCTTTGAGATGGTATTAATTTGCCCCCAAAACCTTCGAATTCTCTCTCACAAGGAGCAAGAATTCATTTGAAATGAAACAAACCTTCAACTGCTTCCAAAAGTGACCGGCAAATCGCATTGCTTCCTGGCCTTGCCGGCGAAGAAGCTTTGCACATTTCGGTAATTTCCCGGAATCCGACTTTTTCCACATAAGACGCAACGAGATCGCATAGTTTGAGAATCGGGAGCCACGAGCAGTTTCATAGCGGTCCGCCTTGCTAGTAAAAAAGGTGACTGTTTGGCTGCATCAAAAAATATTTTGGGTTGTTTTGTTACGTTAAGTTGGCTATACGTTTTCAAAGCGTTTGCGCACGTCATAGTGTGTGCGAATCGCACTAAAATTACTAACGATAAAGAGAATGATTGCCGTTCGTCAGAACCAGGTAATACTGACAATATATTCAATAATAATGGTTCCTACGCCAGGGTGTTTATTGTCTCGATTGCCTGTCTTTTCACAATCTACACTTTTGACGAGAACACAAAAAAACGATGAGCAGGAATTCTTGGTGCAGTTCCTGCAAACGCTCTCGTTATCATCTAAGTAGTATTTCGCAGCCTCAACATTTAATAAAATGGAAGAAATCTCTAATGCTTTCGTTTAACGTTTTCCCTGAAAGGAGCACTTAAAAGTTCAGGTCCATTTTCGGAAACCTTCAGTATTTAAAAAACAACACCAAAAATTACCATTGAAAAAGTACAATGTAGATGATTGAAAAGTTTTTCGTAGGATCGGTTAAAAAAATAGAATTTTAAATAAGATCACTGCAATTGTTCACTGTCTGGAGAAGAATTCTTGCGACTCAGTGCTCTAATCGGCAGTTTTTCACGATTTATCCGATAAATACCAGGCGAATGCATGAGGAGTTCACTAACAAACGTACAACGCTCCGCGCGCGATGTTTCCTTTGTTTTCTCTTTCATATCCTCACTCCTTACACACACGTACACTTTCATGCACTATACTACCATGTATGGGAGACGAGATGAAGCTTAGAGCTTCTCCCGGTTGGGATGATGCCTTGCTGGTGGAAGATACCTGAATAAGGAAACTCGCACAAGTCGGCGTGTAGTTCAGCTCCAGACCTTATCATCCGACAGGGAAAGGACACAGTCTCCTTCCGCCATAAAAATATGCACTAGCCTTGTGGAACCAATGACCATGCGAGTTGACGGGCCCGGAAACACCAAATAATCAGTATATCCTTGGATGTCAACATGACAATGTTCGTCATCATTAACCTAAAATTTTGATAACGTTTCTTTTACTAATTCAAACACGACGCCTATCTGCTCTCGACTATATCTCTTTATTTTTCTTCTGGTTCTAAAACTCGTATCTTCCTCTTCTTTAAGACCCTGATACAAATTCCTCAGCTATGAATGAGCTAATATGTTCCATTGACAGAAACTAATGTTTTTTGTAAGGAAGAAAATATATTTACATAAACGCAATGCATTGCAGAGAAAAATCCGAGAAAGTCTGAGGCGTGACCGACGCCGTCGCAAGTCCCTCCCCGCGATTATGATGCTGCGATGGTTGAGTTAGAAACTCACTGCCACGGTAGCATTGCTGATTGGGAGTCCAGAGTACGCTGGATTTTTCATAGCTAGATCTAATTCGGTCATTCTCTGGAGGTGAATAACACCAGCCGATTGTATTGATGTCTTCTTTTACGTGACGAGACTCGGACCATTAGACCTGCTTTTTCGTCTGACCACGGTTCCTATCAGTAATTAGCGGAGAAAGGAGATATTTCTTGGGCGACGACGATTAGAATTTAGTTCAGAGACTTAATTAGGTTTGAGGATCTTTTACATGCAGTTAATCTACTAACACGGGACAGCCGGCTTTACTTCCCCTCCGAAGGAAGGGAAGGGTACGAAGGATTTTTTCGCCCTTAAAAATCAACGGCTTCGATCAGGTTTGTATTCGCCAACTTGGGTATAACCGTCCGATACGCTAACTGTTATATCATCGCCGCCGCAAATGGCTCTTAATTGGATTTCTCCTTTCAATACAAGGAGAATACTAGTGTGGTACCCTAATAAATGGGCCACGGCCTACGTACGAATATCTCTTCCTCCTCATCCTTACCCTCTCTTCTCCCTTACAGAAGTACACCTAAATTCAACATACTATTACACATATCGAGAGACCGATTGGGAGCTTAGTTCTAGACCCATCTGAAGTGGTGTACCACTGGGAGTGATACCTTTTGGGAAAATAAATACGACTGACGTATTGTAACCTTTACCTATCAAAGGGTTGACAAATACCCTAACGCTACATTCAAATCGCGCGGGCAGAACCCTCTGACAGAGGTAGGGATCTCCGACTAGTATAATACTCTTAGGGAGTTGAATTGTACTGTCTGTGCCAACCTGCGTGGTTGGACTGAGACGAAAGGAGAGGTGAACTTGGCAGCTCGCCATCAATATCGGATGGTCAAATGGTAGATGCTTAATATTTTATCGTACCAGCAAGGTAAAAATTTGGATATAACCCAAAAATAGAGTTTTTCTTCCTCCATTCCTTAATAACTTTGAAGTATTAATTTACTTTCAAAAGTTTGATATTTTTAACAAAACAGTTCTGATCTATCTGAATTGGTGGATTTGGTAAAATGGTGTCGCCATACCCAGGACGAAGAACAGAAACGACACCAGAGAACGCACTGTCAAAGTAAAGGTTGGAGACAAAATTTACTTGTGACAAAATAAATATTTAATTATGTGTGTTTGTGCAGATTGTGTTTTTGTATTTTTATTTGTTAATTTATTTTTTTTTCGCGAAAAGAAAAAAAGCCAAACTTTATTCTCGATTGACGTTGTTATTGTAAAAAGGGTACATTTTGTTTTGTTGTTTAAGAATATATTTATTTTGGTTTGAAAAATTTCTGGATATACACAATTAATTCTTTAAGACAAAAAAGAAATATACCCTGTATATATCTTTAATTTTTTTACTGTTGATTATGAACGGGTCACAGTTGTGTACTTCTTAACATTCACAAGAAAAGCGAGAGAATTTTCGGTATGAACCTCACGCTCTAAAAGAAGAGAAACATTGCGATGTCTGGAAATATAATTAGTGATACACGTACGAGACCAAAATTCTAAGTAGCTGAAAAGTCTGGAAACAATACACATTCGCGTTTAATGGAAGTAGAAAGAAGTCTTACTCGCTTCTCTACCCAGAAACGCCATGGCAAGGCAGGCGCCAAGCCTTTTGAGATTTAATGTCTGAGAAATATACCATAGCTAGCACACAGAAGTCCTGTATCTTTTGCAATAGTATAACATTATGTATTAATTTTTTTAAATTTATTATTTTTATTTATTTAACATCAAAAAGTGTTTAAAAATGTTAGTGACGTGCTACGGGAAATATTGTATTCTTTAAACGTTTTCTGAAATTCTGGAACCATTATCGAAACCGATAAACAAGTTTAATTCTGAATAAAGACGAAATGAGCATTTTTGACATGAATTGATAAGAAAAATTCACTTCAGTGTAACAAAAACTATTTGCGAACGCAAATCAGCTATACAGTTTTGGCTATTATCCCTCTTCGTGCCGTTTATGAAGAATCGTGAAGGACTTCCTGCCCTGAGAACATGGAGAATGATCTTTTGAATAACTACATTACCCACAGATCTCTAAAAGACGTGCACAGATAGTGAAGTTACATTTAAGTGTAAGTAAGGAAATTCCAAAATGGAGTGTGTCACTTG